TCTTACATCAGAAAGAGTGGCAGTCACCAAGAAATCAAATAATAAATTCTGTGGTGGTTGTGGTGAAAAAGAACTCTTGATGGGAATGTAAATTAATACAACCCTTAATGGAAATCAGTTTAAAGATTTCTAACAAAACCTAAAACTGGGGCTGGGCATTTAGCTCAGTGGTGCCCCGCCTGCCTCACAAGTGCAAGGTCCTGAGTTTGATCCCTGGTAACAAAAAAGAAAAAAACTAAAACTAGAAATTCCATTTGACCCAGATACTCCCCTCTAGGTATCTTCCTGAAAGGGTTAAAGACATTATATTATAGCAGTATATGCATACCATGTTTATAACAGCACGATTCATAATAGCTAAGTTGTGGAAGCATCCAATATGTCCATCAACAGATCAAAGGATAAAGAAAATGCATCTATTACTATTTGGCTATAAAGAAGAATAAATTTGAGAAATTTCTAGGAAAATGGATTCACCTGGATTACGTTAAATTAAATAAATCCAGCACAAGTTTAAATACTACATGATTTCTTTCATTTGAATAATGCAAAATACAAAATAAAGAGCAAAATAAAAAATTGATTAAAGGAATCAGTGACATCTTTTGCAAATGGAAGTGGTCCAAGAGACCCAGGGTCAGAAGAGCAGGGGAGGAGAAGGGAGCATAAAAAGGTTTAAGAAGCATCATGTATATGTATGAAATACAATGAGTGTAATCACTGTTGTTGCAAATATGAAATTTAAAAATGTGAAAATGAGGAAAAGGGATGAGATGGAGAGGAGTAAGAAGGAATAAAAAGAATCAAGATAATGTTGAGTACATGTATGTACTCACTAAGATAAATGTAAACTTTATGTACTGCAGAACATGCACTTTAAAAAAAATCATATTAATAGCAAACCGAGCTGGGTGTGCTGGCCCACGCCTGTAATCCCAGCACTCAGGAGGATCGCTGTGAGTTCAAGACCAGCCTGGGCCACATAGTCAGTTTCAGGTCAGTCTCAACTACATACTGAGACTTTGTCTCAAAAAAACAAAAAGGCAAACCGAACAGCTTCCTCCTAAGATCAGGAACAAGACAGGACTGTGTACTCACCACTTCTGTTTAACATTGTTTAGGAGATTCTAACCAAAGGCACTTAGGCAATAAAATGTCATCCAGATTGCAAAAAAAGAAAATAAAATTATCTCTGTTTATACATGGTCTACAAATACTATTAAAGTTAATAAATGAATTCAAAGTGTAGAATACACATAGCATTGTTATTCTAGAAACTAAGCAGTGGAAAATACATTATTAAGAAAGTTCCATTTATAGTAGCATCAAAAAGAAAATATTTAGAAATAAATAGAAGAAATGTAAGACTGGCAAACTATAAATTACAGAACATTGCTGACAGAAAGCAAATACATGAGACATCCCATGTTTGTGGATCAGAAAAATTTGATATTAAAATGACATTACCTCTGACTTGATAAACTGATTCAGTGCATTTTCCATCAGAATCCCAGCTGATGACTTTGCAGAGATTGACCAGCTGATCCTAAAACTTGTATTAAAAGTCAAGAGACTCTCTAGTAGCCAAACTAACTTTGTAAAAGAATAAATTGAATAATTCACTCCCAATTTAAAAACATAATACCAAACTACACTGATAAAAAGAAAATGGGGGTACTGGCATAAGAATAGATAAAAACTGAATTCCAGATTTAAAAGTTAAGAATTTTTGACAAGGATCCCGAAACAATCCTGTAGGGAAAATAATCTAACATACAAAAAGCACTAGAACTGATTACTTGGAAGACAAGTGAAGTTAGACGTTATATAGCATATGCAAAAATTGACATGGACCATGGACCTGAAAGTCATACAAGTATAAAACTCTTATAAGAAAACATAGGAATAAGTCTTTTTGACCTTGAGTTAGCCACATTTTTTAGATGTAACATCAAATATATATGATCAAAGAAAACAAACGAATTCATTAAAATTAAAAACTTGTACTATTAACAGTGCCATAAATTAAATAATGAGAAAGCTCACAGGATGGGAGAAGATATTTGAAAGCCATATACTTAATTGGGTACTTGTATCAGGGTATGTCAAGAATTCTTGCAACTCAGGCCTGGCATGGTGGTGCACACCTGTAATCCCAGCACTTGAGAGGTTGAGACAGGAGTATCACTGTGAGATTGAAGACAGTCTGGCCTGTGTAGGAAGACCCTGTCTTAAAAGAAATTACAACTTGGGCCAGAGATTTAGCTTAGTGGCTCCACTGCCTGCCTCACAAGCACAAGGACCCAAGTTCAATCCCCAGTGCCAAAAAGAAATTACAACTCAACAACAAATAACCCAGTTTTAAAATGGGGAAAGGATATGAACAGATACTTCTTCAAAGAATGTATTCACATGACCACTAAGCATCTGAAAAGAAGCTCAGCATCATCAGTCATCAGGAAAATACAAATCTGAACCATGAGATAACCACTTCTCATACACTAAGATGACTGTAATCAAAAATAATTTCATGAATAAGTGGAGAAATTAGAACCCTTATACAATGCTGTTGAGAATACAAAGTGGCACAGCTGCTTTAGAAAATGGTTACCACCTCAAAATGTTAAACATAGATAATGTGACCCAGAAGTTCTGTTCCCAAGTATATATCTGAGAAAAATGAAAATACATACCATAAAAAATTTGTACAAAAGTGTTACTCATAGCCATACTGTGGAAACAGCCCAAATGTTGAACAGATGAGTGGATAAATGTGGCATACTGGTATAAATGAATGTTCATATGCCACTAAAAGCAGGTAAGTACTGATGAGTGCTATAATACATAAATACTTTAAAAACAGGAAAAAAGCGTTACATTAAAACAGATGTGATTCTGTTGACGTGAATGTGCAAAATAGACACCTACAGAAAGTTAGTATAGTAGTATAGTGGCTGCCCATTGTTGGGTGCAGGTTGGAGTAGAGCGGTTGAGTATCAGTGGCTACAGTGTTTCTTTTGGGTGTAAGAAAATGATCTCAAATTAGATTCTGGTGACAGTGATTTACAAATGTGAATAAAAACCAATGAATTTTTTATCAGGTGGGTAAATTGTATGGTGGGTAAATCATATCTCAAGGCAAAGTGTCTAAAAGCAAAACAAGTATTTGTGACTATAATTGATACAAATCAACTTAGTGATCCATATATTTCAGAATCCAGATTGATATAATTGATGATTATTTGATTCAAGAAAGAACATGTGAATACCTGCTTAGCAAGTGCTCAGCTGGTTGCCTGGTTGTGTTGCTTCAGATTAGAAGGTAGCCCAAATACATTAAGTTTTAAGTAATGTATAGATAACGTTGTTCGGTGTTAGACTTGATCTGATTGTTGAATAAAGAAATTAAGTACAAGTATATTTTATGCCGCGTAATGTCTCACTTTAAAAACCAGTAAATAAGGGTCAGGGATTTAGTTCAGTGGCACCACGCCTGCTGCACAAGAACAAGGTCCTGAAGTTCCATCTCCAGTACTGGGGGAAAAAAAAAGCAGTTAACAATGAAATGGTACTAAAGTGTAGTATAATTAAGGGCTTTATTGGACCCTAATTGATGCCCGTTTTCTCACTCCTGTAAGTGTTAAATTTATATCAAAGTTACACTGTTTTATGATTCATTCTTTAAAAATTACTTTGTTTAGCCTGTTCTTTAGAGGCTATTGGCAAATAACATTTGTAATGGTTCTCATTGTTTAAAAGACATAAAATACTTTGAAAATCGCAACAAACTTCCTGCGTCTTATATAGAAGTATAAGTAGGTGTGCTTAAAGTTTTTGAAGAAATTACTTGTGGATTGTAACATGCTTTCACTTCCTATTTAATTTCCTTTTTACTGCGGCAAAGTATTTCCTATTTGCTTATCTAGAGAACATTTATGTTTTTCATGATGAATATAAATGCATGAATTTATACATTGCAGTGATTTGAAGTAAATTATATGAGGTGTACTTTGCTTTATGCACTTATTTTCTGTAATAGTCACTTGTTTACTTAATAGAGGAGTGAAAATAAGTGGAAGGTATTGTCCACTTAATAAAGTATATCTGCAGTCTGGGAGTAGATGCTTGCAGTCTTTTGGATAATTTTACTGTATCATTTTGGAACTTTTTAAGCAGAGAAACATATTGGTGCACATTTTATGTGTAAACATGTTCCAGTATATGAATATTACAACAAAAGATATTGAAAGGTTTATACTTAGAACATGCAACACATTCTATTTTTTAATGCCCTTTTTTTAGTGGGCTAGTTTTACCTGTTAATTTTACAGTCCATTAAAGGATTGAGAGTTACTGTTTGTAAAACGGTAACCTAGGAACAGAATTACATAATGGGATACACAGTATATTCTTTTTGGATTTTCCTTCATGGTAGTCCTTTCAAAATGTTTACGATTTGTGTCTAGAAAGAAATAGAACTTATACTAGAAGGACAAACATGATCCTCAGAAGTGATACTTGAGATTTAAAAAAATTTTTAATCCTTAAAACATTCTGTCTGAATTGATTTGTCTGTGAACAAGTATATTTGAATGCTCAAGGAAATATTTCCTCAAGTAGTTTAGTTTACCCGTTAATTCTGAACAGAACTCTTTTTGGTTTTTTGAGACGGGGTCTCACTATGTAGTTCAGACTGACCTGAACTCACTATGTAGCCTAGGCTGGTCTTGAATTCACAGTGATCCTCCTGCCTCAGCCTCCCGAGTGCTGGGATTACAGACATGCATGAACAGAACTCTTAATTGAAAAACATGGATAAAATCCACCTAAATTATAAGTTTATTTTCATTTTGCTTTTATACTTTGTGCAGATAAATTTTCTTGTTTAAAATTTAATTATATTAAACTCATGTTTTTATTGTCTTTAATTGTGCATCTGTGATTTTTATTTTGAAAGGGGAGAATTTTTTGTACAAATATTTCACCAAATATTTTTACAGGGACACTTAGTCCGCCTGGATGAACCAGCTTCGGGAGCTGGGCAAGAAGCTCTGCTTAAACAAGAGCAAGCAAAAATCATTCGATTCGAGAGGCAAGCAGAAGAGTTCCTCAATGCAGTCTTTTATAGAAAAGGTTGGTTTCAGTAAAGAATGACATTTAGCTTCTGCTAGTCTTGTATTTATCTCCTTAAATTGTCATTTTAAAAAGTGTTCTTAAAAATATTTTCTTTATTGATGATACTCTTTATATTTTTCTGCTGTATTCTTTTGATAATGTTAAATTTGGAATAGAGTTAAAGCAATTCCTGTCCCCTCACCTTTAACTTTGAAGATATGGTGAGTTTTAAATAGTTCAGGAAATTATTATGAAAGTGAAAATGTTAAGTTCTTAGGAATTCTGTGTTTTGTTTGAAGTTTTAAAAATATAAAGTGACTATTTAAATCAATGATAAATATAAAATTTCAGTAACTTCAACCTGATATTTTATTTGGAGAAAAGATATAGTTATATCTTAGTTACATTTGGAAGCATTTTCTTCTAGATATAGTCATATTTCACTAAAATTTTTTTAATTACTAAAATTAAGGTAAACTCATAATAAAACTTGTCACCATACATTTCAGGTGACATTTAATTAGCTCTACCTTTGGGGTTTTTCCATTTTATCTTTTAAACTTGTGTGCTCTTACTTCTGTTTTTGGTTTTGTTTTTTTTTGTTTTATTTATTTACTGGTACTGTTACTATTGCTGTTGCTGCTGCTGCTGTTATTGCATAGTAGGGATTGAACCCAGGGCCTTGCACATGTTAGACAAGCACTATACCACATAGTGACATCCCCAGGTGCCTCACTCCCGCTTTTCCCTCCTTTTTGCTGCAGGATCTTGTTAAGTTACTCAGGCTGGCCTTCAACTTGCAATCCTCCTTCAGCCACCACACCTGGCTACATTTCTTTTAAAAGGTAAAGAGGCCTCTCTAGTCACAGTGTTTTAGGACTTAGAAATTCTTCATGGAGACATTCAGTTCTTTCCTCTTTACGTAAGGCATAATTACTATTAACCATTAGTAAAGTTCCCTTCACTATCCATTCCAGTGAACAGTTTTTTACTTTTCAAAAAATTAATTCTCATTGGATTTGAATTCTTAAGTTAGACTTTTCTTTTACTTCCAAGATAGAAATTATTAATAAAATTCTTGTTTCCTACAAGCCCCCAGTAATCTTGAATGTTCTTAATCTGTAGCTGACTCATAGATCTCATTTTCTTTAATATGTCTTTGTATGTTCTAGTTACACATCAATTTTTCTGAGAATTGCCTTCTTTCTAAAGTTTGAAAGGTATATTTTCACTATACTCTTTAAAAGTCTGATTCCAATGAATTATTTTCATTCATATAACAGCTAGACTTCTGCTTCATGTGATGAGTATTCTCGAAAAACAGTATGAGGTGAAGTATCACACTAAATTAAGAAGTGCATAAATTATTGTTTTGGGGGGCACATTTCTGTTTGTTTCTTCTTCCATTATTCCTCTAGGCAAAATCTCATGTTTTAGTATGTCCTTACTTAACTATTTACTTAGTTCAGGCATAAGTCTCCCATCTGAGTCTCCCAGGTCACATTATCATTTAAAAGGCCCTGAATTCCAAAATTATGTTCAAAGTAGTCATTTCCTTAGTTTTATAAACATTTGATTGTTTTATTAAAATAATTCACATTTAAGGTGTAAGTGACTGACTAGTAGGTTCTATCAGTTGAAGTATCTTTATAGCTTTGAGAAATACATAGTTATCAATGTAGCATGTTATTATAAAACGCTCTGTTACTTGAAAAGTACTATTCTCCCTAATTTACAAAGTGTGATCGAACCATATAGTGAGTGTTTAAATTTTTTGAAGTATTACAGTAAAAGGCACTGCCATTAAACCCCTCAGAATACTCTCCCTTGCTTCAAACAACCACATTTATTCTATTGTTTTGTGGTTTTTTTTTGTTTTTGTTTTTGTTTTGGTCCTGGGGATCGATTTGGGTCCTTGTGCTTGCAAGGCAGGCAGCCAGGCAGCAGAACCACTGAGCTAAATCCCCAGCCCTATCTTCATTCTTGTTGCTTTCTGGAGCAATTCTGAAAGTCTTCTTTTGTGAATGTGTTCAGTTGCTCTCTTATGGCTACCTCAGTTTTCTCAGCTGATTCAGAACTTTTAACTTTAACTTTAGGGAAAAGCCAACGTCTCATGGTGCCAGATTCATGAATCAGGCAGGTAAGGACACACTAATTTTTTTTACAAGCCTGCTTTTCCAGCATACCTTATAAAAAGATAGCCACAGAAGAGGTTCTAAAACTGATTCAGAAAGTAGCAAGAATGATGGGATAAGTGTGTTCAAATCAAGGGGACCTAATGTCTTTTACTGCAATACATTTTTTAAAAAATTAAATACCATATATTCTGATCATATCAAGTACATGGAGAACCACTTCTCATCCTTCCCCCACACATACACACATATACCCCCTTTGATTTTTTTTTTTTTTTTTTTTAAATAGCTCAGGCTGGCCTCTGTCTCATGGCAGTCTTCCTGCCTTAGCTTTCCTTCTGAGTGCGGGCCATCTCACCCAGCCTGTTTTTTTGTTTCGGAGTTGTTAAATAAGGTCACTTATAAATAAACAGATTCCTACAGAGAAATTCTTAGTTCTCTTAGTCCCATCCCTTTATGATAGAGAAATATAGTAAATTAAAGTTCTCATTAAGCTTTATTATTTAGAAGTTAAAACTTTCAGACATGTAACCATGGAGGAGGAATTCTTACCTTGAAATTGGTCTCAAGGTAGATCTGGTTTTTTTTAAAGTGAGGTTTTATATTTATTAAAGATAGAAAAAGAAGTACGCTCTCGAGAGTGAGTGCAGGCCAACTAAAGTAGGAAAAGAAATACACTGTTGAGTGCAAAACAGGCTACTGAAAGAATTTACAGTGGCCACAAACAAGGTTAATGCTGCCATTTTTTGGATCCTCCATTCTGACATCAAATCTAGGCTCTCATGAAAAACCTGTTTGATTTCATGCTAAAAGTATTGAAGTTTCTGTGATTGAGTCCAAGTGCAGGGCTTAGACACATGTGTCCTATATATCTGTGCCTGATAGGTCATAACTACTTGCCTAGTTGGCTGACTGTGTCTGATCTCTTGCCTCAGTTTTCCCTGAGAGACAAAGATCCATAATTCTTTGTGGGTTGCTGAGGTTGTGGTGGTCTCTGTCTTCATATAACTACTTCCAGCTGAAAGGGCTATTGGCCCTACCTGCTGGGGATTGTGTTCTCTCCACTACCTTGTGATTTTTCCCAGCTGGGGTGAGAAGAAATGGTCATAAAACCATGAGAAAAGAGAGCCCAAATATAAAGAACTGTTGAGCTGCATGTTCATTGGGAGAAAACTTGGTTAATTTGTCTAGACTCATTGGCTGTAGTCTCATTCACCATCTGAAGCCTTAAATGAACATTTATTTCTACTAGTCGTGCAGCCCAAATATGAGAAGGAGCGGAATATTCCCTGGTGTATCTGAAATGGTAAACTCTGATGGATGTAGCTATTGGGGATTTCTGTGCGTTCTGTGGAGGAGAAAGTATGGCAAAGAAGGACATTAGATACAGAGACTGAAAGTTGTAGCCTTCCTTGCAAGTTTACAGACTCACTATGGATCTAAGTAAAAACAGTTATGATATAGGTGCCTATTTAAGTCGGTTTAAGAGTCATTAATGACTCTACTTAGCTTGCATTCAGAGCAGTACTGGAGTCTTGCTTCTTGAAGAGGAGCCTCCCAGGTCTTGTAGAGCTTCACAGGAGAGGGTGGTCTTTTTTCTTCATACAGCTCAGGTGGGCCTGGATTTATCCCCTGGCTCATGTTGCCAAAACTATGTTAACAGGGGTTGGGGGTGTCATGGGATCCTTCTAGAAGTTCTGAGATACTTGTCCTAAACAAAGAACTAGTGAAAACAAGCACAAAAGGTAGCAAGGTTTTACATTTATTAAAGATAGGAAAAAGAAGGCATGCTTGGCAGAGTGAGTGCAGGCCAATTAAAGATAGGAAAAGAAGTACATGTGGAAGAGTACAGAGCCTTAGGGCAGTTTTTTTCTGTTTTGTTTTGGTTTTTTGTTTGTTTGTTTGTTTCCTAGAAAGTCTTGCTATGTAGTTAAGGTTGTTCTTGAACTCATTATGGAGCCCAGACTGCCCTGAAACTCTCAGTGATCCTCTTGCCTCAGCTCCCTAGTGTGGCAATTACAGGCATGGACCACCACACCCACCAGTTTAAGGATAGATTTTTAAGAGATGGGAATCCTTTGAAATTTTTATCTGTTGATAGATTAGCATAATATTCTCAAAAAAGTGTGGGGGGGGCTATTTCCTTAGAATAGGAAAATTCCTTTTCTCTTGCCTTATATATAAATATTGTTTTTGATTGCTTTATTAATCCTTTTGGAAGTATTACCAAGATGGACATTTATATTCTTCAATTGAGTACTAAAAATGATCTAAGTCCAGGGAGATGACAGTAGTCTGAAGAGAATATTGTATGTTTGAGTAACCCATCTAAAATGATTGAAATTAGAAGAGTTTTTTGTTTTTTTGGTACCAGGGATTGAACTCAGGACCTTGTGTTAGCCCTTTGTATCCAAATAATTATATATATATGTGTGTGTATATGTGTGTGTGTGTGTGTGTGTGTGTGTGTATTGTGTGTGCGTGTGTAATTTATTTATTTAGGGGTTTTTTTTTGGAGACAGGGTCTCACTATGTAGAGACTGACCTGGAACTCACTATGTAGCTCAGGCTGGTCTCAAACTCACAGTGATCCTCCTGCCTCAGCCTCTGGAGTGTTGGGATTACAGGCGTGCCACCACCACGCCTTGCCTATATTGTGTATTTTAACTACTGGTGTGCAGAGCTTTTGGATAGCCAAGTAGATAACGTAGATGCAGTAGAAGTAGGCTTTAGTAATAGGGACTCTATAACAAATTCTAATTTACAAATAGTATTGTATACCATCTTAATCCAATTCTTAGCTTGTTTTGTCCCTAGTGTTAAAAAATTATATACTTACCTAAAAGTTAAATCTGTATTTTAAAATGTGCCAATGGCTGTGATATATTTTTCTGTAATTTTATTCTGATCTCATTTGTTGATTTTATTTGATTTAGTTGTACATGTTTCCCTGGGTAAGGATATGTTTATAGAATTTGTTTCTTAAGTACAACAATGCATTGAAGAAACTTTCAAAAGAGAAATTTAAATAGTAGAGATGTCATTCATAAAAACTGAGTATTTTTTCTCATTGTGTTACTCATTGGGCTGATAGAGCCAGATAATACTGTGGTCATTTAAAGGTAGCAGTTTATGGTCGTCATCCTAAAATCTTTCACTTACCACAAAGTTCTTTAATGGTATGTATTCATACTGAACACAGATATCTTATAAATTATTTCATTTTGCTCCCTGTTTAGACATTTTCCTCTTTTCGCTGGACCCCTTTTCTTATGAACTCAGTTCATTCCCTAGGGCTGGTCAGTTGCCTTCAAAGTCTCTCTTTTAGATCACTCTTCCAGGCAGATGTCAGTATCCTTAGACATTGGCCCAGGATTTCTCAGTTAACTTCACACAGAAAAGGTTGTTGTAATGGTCCTTCCAGAACTCTTTAAGGGTTAAATCTGTGTCTGAGACCATCTGGAAGCACAAGTGGCTGGCATTTGGATCGTAGTTCAAGTCTTTGGTCATAAGTTAAAACTTAAACTCTGGTTGTAACCCAAGTCATTCATATGTCAGGCCAATCGTAACTCGAGGGTCCACTGTATTACATAGTCTCCAGGGAGAAAGATACCACTGATACCTTAAAATTTTATACAGTATTTCATGTGGGGATTGCATGCTGTATAGGAGAAAAATGGATCTTAACTAGAAAGTTAAATAACTATTAACGAAAAAATTCATTGGATAGAAATATTTAAAAAGCAATATAGCTAAAATGTTTACTGAAACATTTGAAGAATTATTGTCTGGAACTTCTGAATCTCACCTAATTTTACCTTTGGATTCTCACTCTATATATATATAGACTCTTAATATGATTTCTTTAATAAAGACAAAATTTAGGATTATACATACTTCTTAATAGTACAGAAGCATTATTATTTATAGAGTAAACCTCATTAAACTTTACAGAATTAACATTATGTGTATCTTCTGGTATTTAATGTTGACTTTTTGGGGAGAAAGGATAAATTATTAAGAGTCCTGTGACATTTTGTTAATTGACTTATTACAGACATCTTAGGTTTTAGTAATAATAAAAACCAAATGTGTAACTTTATAAGTCAACCTCTTTAAGTTCCTCACCTCTAAAATACTGTGGATATTTGCCTTTTATAGCTAATCCTTTTTTTAAAAAAGGCCCATGTAAGCGAGGTTTTCTGATAACTTTATTAATAAAGGACAGAGTATGGTGCAGAGTCAAGGACATAGGTCCAGTATTAAAATAGAAGGAAGTATTTTATTTGAGTTTATTGATACCATCTACAAATTTGTAGAGGCTATTTACTCTTTAGATCATATTTTTTGGTCTTTTTAAAAGGACTATATTTGACTGTTTTGTTTATTACTGAAATAAATCGAATACATACTTCATACCAGGCAAGACAAGGCATACAAAAGTAAATAAATAATAGTCTGTGCCCTCAGGAAGCTTCATCTCTGGTAGGCCAATGAGGTAATTATAGAAATGTATGAATAGTGTATTTATACAAGGCACTTTTCTTTATCTTACCTCATTTGAATTTTAAGATCTCCTTCAGTTCTAAACATTTATGAGTTCATGTGGTCTTATTTTAAAATAAGCATTGAAAACTTAGGTGTTTATTTCATTACTTCATTGGCTGCCCAGTTAATAGGTAGCAGTGTATACTAAAACACTCATGGAGCTGGGTACAGTGGCGCATGTGTGCAATCCCACCTAGTGGGAAAGCTGAGGCAGGAAGGATCACAAGTTTTAAGCCCAGTCTCAAAATGAGAAGGGCTAGGGTGTGATGGGTGTGCTCCTGGGTTTGATCATTACTACAGCTTAAAAAAATAAAGCAAGTATGTGGTTTTTCTTCAGCTTTCGAGATTTGGCATTTAAACTCTAGCTCAAGTATTAAAAAATTGTGTTTCCCAGACAAGTAGTATCTAGCAGTTTGTTAGAAATGCCAGTCCTTGAGCCTCCTATAGAACTACTGAATTGGAAACTCTGGGTGTAGGACCCAGCAGTCTGTCTTTTCAAGGTCCCAAAATGATCCTGATGAACAATTGAAATGTGATGACCACTGTCCCAGCCTATCATGGATCTTTAAATTATTCTCTTTTTATGACCTTGTTATGCTGTGTATCTTTAATAGGCAGTAAATTAAGTAGTCACGATAACCCATTCTTCAAAAATTTAAGAGGAAAAATCTAGAGGAAACCTGATGTGACTGTAGGTGGTAAAAGGGGAGTACTTAATTCATAAGAGAAAGGCTTAGGGGTTTCTATATCAGGTAAGTAATTCTTGTCCATAGGCTACATACTATGTATCCCTTTATTTAATTTCATGATCATAGAGAGATGTTTAGAAATATTTTTATGAAAAATTTCAGAAATCTAGGGGGCTGGGATGTAGCTCAGCGGTTTGGTGGCCTGCCTTGCAAGCCCAAGGACCTGAGTTCGATCCCCGGTACCCTGCCTCCCCCAAATTGTTTTTTCAGAAATCTAGAGCTCAGAAGGTTAGAGGTTGAGAGTGTAAATCAAATGGGGATAATTTTAGGGTATTGCATTATAAAAATAATGAAATCTTATGTTTTCTTGAAAGATTTTTCTTTAAGTACATTGTCCCACTTTAAAAGTAAATAAATCTTTGTTTACAGACAGTCCCTGGGTCTCCAACCCCAATATTCCCCTAGTGGCCCGTGAGATCATGCAGCGAATGATCCAACAATTTGCTGCTGAATATACCTCAAAAAATAGCTCTACTCAGGACCCCAGCCAGCCCAATAGCACAAAGAACCAAAGCCTGCCGAAAGCATCTCCAGTCACCACCTCTCCCACGGCTGCAACTACTCAGAACCCTGTGCTCAGCAAACTTCTCATGGCTGACCAAGACTCACCTCTGGATCTTACTGTCAGAAAGTCTCAGTCAGAACCTAGTGAACAAGGTATGGTTTAATGTTATGGTTTCCTATATCCAATCAGAAAATTTTGATCTGCAGAGGAAAAAATATTGGCAAGTAGGATATCAATAGCAATAATAGGATTGAAAACTAAGATGACTCTAGTCAGGTGTGGTCAGTGCACACCAATCCTCACAGCTACTCAGGAGGATCACATGCTCCCAGGAGTTTGAGGCCAGCCTTAGCAACACAGCAAGACCATGTTTCTTGAAAAGAAAAGAAAAGAAAAAAAAAAACTAATGGAATTCTTGAGTTATTTCTGTCTATATAGTGGTGGAAAAGCACTGATGAAGTCATTAAACCTTACTCATCAGTAGTTAATAGCCATGACTGATGTGTTTCACCCAAGGAAATCAGGTAGTTGGTTGTTAATAATCTTTTAAGTTCAATATTTTTATGAGCATTTTGCACTTTGTAAAATATATCAATTTTTTAAAAACACTTATGAAAAATTAAGTTTGTCTTTATCCTTGGTGTTCTAAAATTGGTACCTACCCAAGAAATATGCTTTTACTTAAGTTGAAGTTATACTTGGAAATGAGATAAAAAGGAAAAGCATATTTTGTATGTTTTATTTGCAGTTAAAAAAAAAAGCTATCAGGGTAAGAAAAGAAAGTAGAAGCCAGGCATGATAGCACACACCTATAATCCCAGCACCTAGGAGGCTGAGGAAGGAGGATTGCCATGAGTTTGAAGGCAGCCTGGACTACATAGTGAGTTCAAGACCAAAAAAAAAAAAAGAACATATTATAGCTGATTAAATGTATTCAGGGTTTTATAAGTACTGAAACATATACACATGTATTGTTTTATGAACTAACCTTGAGTATTTTCAATTTGGAATTTGTTAGTGAGAATCCAAATTAGTGAAAATTTTGAGGTTATCAGTTCCTTTTAACAAAAGTTTTTTGAGTCTCTGAAATTTTAAGTAAATTAATATTCCTATTGCTTTGTGATCTCCTTTGACTTTTTTCACAAAAATCAAGTATTTCATTCTACCCACTACAAATAATTATAATTTGGTGATATCTGCAGCAGTGAGATTTTATTGTCATACAAATAAAGATTATGAAATAAATGAATTTCTTGGTGTTAAATATATTTTTATTTTGAAAAGCAAATTAACTCTTTGGTTTTTTTGTTTGTTTGTTTTGTTTTGTTTTGTTCTTGGTACCGGGGATTGAAATTGGGTCCTTGTGCTTGCCAGGCAGGCAGTGGCACCACTGAGCTAAATCCCTGGCCCAAGAAAATGTAGCTCTTAAGAACCTCTTTGAAAGGACTTTTTCTTACAAGTAATGTATAAATGTTTTACATTTAATGAACTGGCTTTAGTTTCTTATTAAAGAATATACAGTATTCTTAGAGTAATCCCATGTCAGCCCCGCAGTCCCTGTTTGGGTATGGTGAACAGCTAACACAGTACCTATGTTCCAAGAGATTTCCCAGTAGTAGTTCTCCCAGTTCCCTGATCACACTGATCTTGGTACTTTAGGTTACCATATTTGTAGAGTATGCTTTTATAGAGTTTTATTGAGGATTGTTTTCCTTGGCACAGATTGGTAATTTTCATTAAAAATCCCTATGTTCTACAAGGGCAAAGGCCCAAGTTTGATCCCCTGTATCAAAAAAAACCAAAACAAAACAAAAAAAACCCCCAACATCTTTGTTCTAAATATTGCACTAAGCTGAGTGTGTGGTGGTACACTCCTACAATCCCAGCACTCAGGCGGCTGAGGCAGGAGGATCACTGCAGAGTTTGAACCCAGCCAGTTTGAGTTTAGGAATAATTTAAGAACTACATTAGGTGTGGTGTTTTTTTTTGTTTCTTGTGGGGTTGTTTTTTTTGTTTTGTTTTTTGAGCCATATGACAGCATTATAACCTATAGACTTCAAATGAAACAAAAACAGTTAAAATAGTTCCTTAGTGAATTTTAGGAGTTTTTACCTTGTCCCAATATTTTAGTAATAGAATTAAATGTTTCCTATTTGATAAGGTAAATTGCCTTTTTGATTTAAAAGTTTGTAGATAATACTGTTTTTAATTGGAATAGTGCATTTGCTCTTCAGATGTCTAATTAGGCTAGATGTCTAGTAGAACGCTTGATTATAGAAGATTACATTTGTTTGTTGAAGTATTTAATAACTCTAAAAGGCAAAACTTTTCTATATGAGAGTGAACTTTTTTAAATTTATAAATTCCTTGCATTTGTATTTCTAACAGCCTGAAATTGAGTTACATTGTTCCCAGGCACAAGTAGTTAAAGTAGGTTCTTTCCTGGGTTGATAAATTAACATAACTAGATAGCAAGACCTTTCTGCTGGCCATCTGAAAATCAGAGGCATTGCATTTATCTTGGTTTGTTAATTTTGGACACAGTTTTAAAAAGTTGTCCAGACCCAATGTGCATGATGGTACATGCCTGTAATCCCTGAACCCCAGGAGAAGTGCTGGGATTCTCCTAAAACATGAGAATGTCAGATTCAGGCCCAGCCTAGGCAGCCTAGTGACTTACTGAGATCCTGTCTCAAAATAGAGAAAGAACCAGAGATGTAGCTTCATTGAGGCTGAGAAAGGATTGCACGTTTGTGCCTGACTTGGGAATTAAGTGATGTATCGAAAGCCTATCTCAAGAGTGGATTCAGGCTACAGCTCAGTGCCAAGGCCCTGTGCTCAGTTCCAAGTATCCCCCCCACCGCTCAAAAATGTCTCCAGACAATGAGATTTCTTTCTAGATATGTTTATAAGGGGGAAAATGTCTTTGAGGGGCAAGAAAGTCTTCTAATTTTATATGTTAGTAATATGAATTTGTGATTTAGTGTAACTTGTAGGTTACACTTTCAAGCTCTTACCTGTATAAAGACTATTTCATTCTTTCCTTTAATGTTGCTTATCAGTTTTGATACCTTCTTAAATTAAAAAAAGGCCTTTGTAAATGCCAGCATTTGAATTTTAAATATCTAAATTTTTTTAAAAGATCAAATCCATGTAACACTTTTTTGCAGCTATAGCCAAGGAATAATTTAGATGCACACAAATTTATAAACCATTAACAACTGATTTCATCTTATGGACTATTCCTATTTACTATATGTATGTAATTTAACCATGTAAACATTTAAACATTTTTTTCTTAAATTTTTCTATATTCAAATTTAGGTACTTTTGGGTTTCAGGTAGATTTAAGTCTTGAGGAATTTGGTTTATAGTTTGTATAAACTATTGTGGAACTTTAAAAACTCATATTTGAAGCTGGGGGTGGTGGCTCTGGCCTCAGCACTCGGGAGGCTGAGACGCGAAGATCACTGTGAGTTCGAGACCAGCCTGGGCTACATAGTGAGTTCAGGTTAGTCTCAACTACATAGTGAGACCGTGTGTCAAAAAACAAAAACAGTAACAACAACAACAAAAAACTGATGTTTGAATCAAAGTAAATTAGAAAATGAAATCTGATAAATTCTAGAGCAGAATCTCAGTGTAAACTTCAGTTTCCAATATCTCTCTTGCTTTATCTTAGCAAATTCTAAAACATCCCTTACTTTTTGTTTTGCTCTGTTAATAAAATATTTAATCCTTGGAGAAATTGGATGTACTATGTTTTGCTAAGTTTATGTTGCTTCAGGAAGAAAACACCCTGATTTTGTATTGAACTTAATAATAAATATATGATGGGAGTATTAGCTTAGTTCAGTAGGCTACAGCATTTTCGTTTTTAGCCTGTTGAGTTCATATTTGTTCCAGTTTTTAATATCATCAGATTTTTCTTTGTTTCTCTTCAGACGGTGTACTTGATCTTTCCACTAAGAAAAGTCCATGTGCTGGCAGCACTTCCCTGAGCCATTCTCCAGGCTGCTCGAGTACTCAAGGGAACGGGTAAGGGAAAGTATCTGTAGCCTTCCACAATTTCATTCAGATAATTCATCAGATTGATGCCAGTCTCCCCTGCTGTACATTTTTAAAACCAACTCTTTGGAGTAACAGTCTTGTAGGCAGGCCTTTTGTAAAATAACTTCTAGTCCATCCGTCAGCTAAAAATACATCAGTGAAAGCTAGAATTGGCTAGAATAGACCAATTTTGCTAGTTTAATATAAATCATGAGTGTGGTAAGAATATGTCTTTGGGCTTTTTGTTGTTGAGTGTTTTGGATTGTGAAACTAAAGCTAAATGAGTCTGAAGTTTAGATGTAAAGGCAATAGTATGATGTGTGCTGAAGTTGTGTACTGAAAATTGAACTCTATTTTACTTGGTAGGGTTTGTGTTTGTGTTTATTTTTGTTTTGACTTGGTTGTGGCTGTTATTTTGAACTGCAGTTTTAACTCTGGCAGTTCACAAAAATACAATTGTGTGTTTGTTTGTTTGTTTTAATGTAAAATTGGTTATAGATGTCGCCAAGATACCTTATGCTGGTAAGATATGATTGCATACTCAGTCTGATAACTTAGAAAATTAAAGTGAATTCTCTCACCACCTAATTTTATAATTTAAGAATTGTCTTCATTCTCCCTATGAGTATTTAGTAACCATTTAGAAAAGTCAAGAATTAATGATGTTTAGGCATGTATTTAGACAATGAAGGTATTAGAATACTGTTCTAACCAAAGACCAATTTTATGTAGATAATGAAAATAACTGGTAAGTTTAAATTAATATTTAATTTAGAATATGAAATGGGGAAGTTATTTAGATATTAAAGGAACAAGTGGACACTAAATGGATTAACCTTTTCCAGCTTACTCTTAAGTTGCCATTCCCTTACTGGCTTCTAAAACGCCCCTTTTATTTTCTCTTAAAATTGCATCATTTTCCTTTTCATCACCTTTTCTGTTTAAAAGTATTAATTTGATCCATTTTGTACAGTTTACTAGGTTTTGTTTTTAACCCTTCTTCTCATTGTGGTTTATATTAGATACAAGTTGCCCTGGTCCCAAGAAACACTTGAGTTGGGTAATGAAGGATGCATATAGTAGAAGCCCAAGTATAGTTTACATAAATGAATCCCTTGCTTAAGATTCACCTTAATTTTGGCTAGCAGGCCCTTGTATTACATGCTTGAAGTTGCTGTGTAATTCTTCTGACTGGGAAGTGGTGTTTTCTATTTGTACCAGCAGTACTGTGACCATCTTTCAGTTGAATATTCAGTGTTATCCTTATTGTATTAATAATGACAATAATCCCTGTAGAGTTTTGGAGAACATAGCTGGTTTGACATTGTTTCTGCAAAGATCTACTTGGAGGCCTCATTAATGTACCATTCCCCTTGTGTATTGCACTGCCAGTTGCCAGTCCTAAGATTGATAACTTTTCTCTATTATGAAAATGAATTCATTTTATGTAAGTAGCGTTTTTGAAATAGTATTTCAAAGCTTTCCACATGAAATTTCAAAATAGACATTAAGTATTTTGAGAAGTTTTTCTTAGAGAGAAAACTGCCACAAAATTGTTTATCTCTAACAATACTTTAGTAGAACATAAGGAACAAAATTTTGGTGAAAATAAAAGAGTAATTTTATGCTTGAGCCACTCAAATCACAAATGGAAAATCATGATACTCATAGTGTTTTAAAAGAAAGGAGTGTGGTAAGTTACAATGCCGTGGATCTTTTGATTTCTTACGGTTTGGTGTTTTTTCTCCCATTGGGGCTGGATGCCATAGATGGATTTTTTTTCCAAAATAAAGTAAATGTTATCTGGAATTGTTTGATTTTTATGGTGAACATCAACTTGTTTCTGGGATAAACAGACATTATCAGTGGATTCCAACAGTATAAGTGATCCAGTTTTATAGCTAGTTGTCATAAATGTTGAATTAAAATAATTGCATTAAAATAGTTTGGCTTACTCTTTTATTATTGTACTTGTTTAGTGGTAACGTCACATTGGTAATACAATTCTGTATAGATCTTTGGAGACGGATGATTACTTTGTAATTAATAATTAAGGTACTATTTTCAGACAGTTGCGCGAAACTTTTTCTCCGAAAATTTGTGAACCCAACCAGAGACCAGCCAACAGATTTAATTTTTCTTTGTCCAAATGCTCCTGTTTTTTTTTCTTTTTCTTTTTTGTGAACAAGTTTTAAAACTAACTGCTGAGATCATTTTTTTTTTAATTTTTAGAGAAAAATAAATAAATAACACAAAGTGATGTTACCCAAGCAAGGCCTTCTAATAAAGGAGTGGTCCCCTCACCCATCCCTCCCTACCTGTGCAAGTCCTGCTCACATCAGTTTCCTTCCATTCAATTAGGCGACCTGGGAGACCCAGCCAGTACCGCCCAGACGGACTTCGGAGTGGTGATGGGGTACCTCCAAGAAGCTTACAGGATGGAACCAGGGAAGGTTTTGGACACTCTACATCACTCAAAGTTCCACTGGCTCGATCCCTGCAAATTAGTGAAGAACTACTGAGCAGAAACCAGTTGTCCTCAGCTACCAGCCTGGGGCCATCTGGATTACAGAATCATGGACAACACTTAATATTATCCAGGGAAGCCTCTTGGGCAAAGCCACATTATGAATTCAACCTCAGTCGTATGAAGTTCAGGGGAAATGGTGCACTCAGCAACATCAGTGACCTTCCTTTTCTTGCAGAAAACTCTGCCTTTTCAAAAATGGCACTTCAAGCAAAACAAGATGGAAAAAAGGATGTGAGCCATTCATCTCCTGTAGATTTAAAAATACCACAAGTTCGAGGAATGGATCTTTCTTGGGAGTCTCGCACTGGTGATCAGTACAGCTATAGCTCTTTGGTAATGGGTTCACAAACGGAGAGCGCGCTTAGTAAAAAATTAAGGGCTATTCTTCCAAAACAAAATAGAAAAAGCATGTTAGATGCTGGACCTGATTCTTGGGGCTCAGATGCTGAGCAGTCTACCTCTGGACAGCCATATCCCACCTCGGATCAAGAAGGAGACCCTGGCTCCAAGCAGCCTCGGAAGAAAAGAGGGCGTTACAGACAGTACAACAGTGAGATACTGGAGGAAGCAATCTCAGTGGTTATGAGTGGAAAAATGAGTGTTTCCAAAGCTCAGAGTATTTATGGGATTCCTCACAGTACACTGGAGTACAAAGTAAAGGAGAGGCTGGGCACTTTGAAAAACCCTCCAAAGAAAAAGATGAAATTAATGAGGTCGGAGGGGCCAGATGTTTCTGTAAAGATTGAATTAGATCCCCAGGGAGAGGCAGCACAAAGTGCAAATGAATCAAAAAACGAGTAGGAATACTGTAGAGTGCCAATTACTGTACAAACTGGGTGAGCACTACTGCATCATTGTTCGGCTGTCATTGCTTGTACCTAACTTCATTACTGTGACACTTGTTTCTTTGCAGATTTTGCATTGACTTGTGTGTGCAGAGGTGAAAGGTACATTCTGAATGTTGCATATTTTTAAATTTCCATGTGCAGTATGGCTCGGAATATTGTTTGGCCTTTTGCATGTTTCTCTACAAAAGAGAATTGACTTACCTCACAGAACAGATTCATGGAAGTGGACTCCTTGCTTGTAGAGCCTGCATGCTTTCTCCCCCACCCACTTAAGTTATGTTTGCCTTTACTTAAAAAAAAAAAAAAAAGGAGAAGTCCCCCTTTTAAAAAAATCACCTCTGTCATACTAGGAGCTTTATTACAAATTGGAAAGCCATCTTTAAAAATTATTCACATTTTTTTCTTCTACATTTCAATTAATTGAAGGATTTAAAAAATTAAGAACAATGAACCTTTGAATTTCAAATTTTTTGTCATTCAATGATAAATACTTATTTGGGTCATTTATAATTATGCCTTATAATTTTATTCTCACTATTAAGTTTACTTAATGAATTAGCATTTTACATAGTGCTCACCCAGAGGGGAAGGAGGTAGGAGATGTGCACACACTACCTTCAGAAATGCTTCGGTTAATTACTTTGAACACTACCTTCGCTGTAATTTTGTTTAAGATTTTCTAAGGATAGAATTTGGTCTCACCAACAAGTGAGGATATAGCCTTATCTCATGGAGGACGAGCTCCCTTCTTACTCAGGAGCAGTCAGGGTACAGTACATAAAACAGTGGAGGACACCTCATTTTAATGAACTAGTTTTCTTTGTATTTTCCAGTCCTTTACAAAATTGACTATATATTCTTACAGTTGAATATTATTAACAGCAACTAGTTTCAGTTACTTAAGATTTGTTTGGGGAGTGGGAAAAATAAGGAAAGAAATGCTTGTAAAGAATTATGATGTTGCAAAAATGATTCTTAGGTTTTACATCCTCAGTAGTCTGCCGGTTATCCACATTGAAGAACGATATAAGTTTGTAGTAAAGAGAAAAAAATACAGTCCCAAGGCGACCTAATATGATTTAGGTTGCTTATCAATTCTAAAAATAGTTTAATCAGGAGTTAAGCTCATTGGAATTTTTTTTTTTTAATCTAAATGTTAGTTCAAGGATGGGAGAACTGGTTTTTGGTTTTTAGTTTTGTTGATCTGAATTTTTGTTTTCTGGGCATCCTACATAATACTCCCTTAACTTTTTCTGATAGCTGTTATTCGTGGTTGATTAGCACACATTTCAGGACTTCTGAGATCGTGCTTGTATAAGCACTCCTTGAAGAACATCTAGGTTTTTTTTGAGATGGGCTTGAAAATTACAGTGCTTAAGTTTCAACAGTTTGTTTTCCATAGTTTTTGTATGAGTTACTGATAAAGCCCATGAATTTTTTTTTTATAGTAATCAAATTATTTGTACAGAGCAAAATGCACACCATATCCACCCTGTACTCTTAATCGGCTGAGAAAAGTGGTCAGGCCTTTCTAAATATTTCTGAACCAAAATGGAGTTTTGTATAAAATTAAACATGGAGTGTTGATTAGACTAAAGTTAGTGATTTCA